TTGGAACGCAATTTATCGAATAAATTGAATTTGGCCAGTTTAAATACTTTTCAAATTTTATTGCCGATCATAACTTTCTACATTCAATATTATCATCTCGTTTAACACTTTGATTGATCGATATATAATTTCACGATAATTCAACATGCAATAGAGAATTGGTTTTTAAATAAAACAAAACAATTATATTGAAGAATTGCTATGGTTTCCTACGTGCTTAATTATGACTCAAAATTTGTTTATATTTACACATTTAAGAAAGTTAAGATTTTTGTGAAAAAATTGTCTCAATTATAATTTTGTTCTAGAAAATGGAGTTCACTAAATGCTTTGCTTTACCGCTTTACGATCAATTATACGAGTTCAACTTTTTGTGTAATGGTGTTTCTCCTGAAGATATTGGATTCATCCGATTGTTTTGTTCAATTTTAAAAATAATATTTACACAATCGTGTAATACATTTAAAGTGTTGTACGTTATGATTCCGGAATTGGCGACTTTTGCAATTTTACTGACTTGTTATTTAGTAAATCAGTTGAGTAACGCATTTAAGCATAGAAATGGCATGACTCTTTTTGCCCGATTATTAATGTTGGCCTTTCAAATGTCTTTGATCTATTGTATGATTCGATTAAGCACCACTCATGTATTCGCACCGGTAGTCCGCATGCTCGAGTCAACATTTACAGAACTGCTAAACAAAGTTACATGTTTAGGATTAAGATGATTTTCAACAGTCAAAACGATAAAAAGAGTTGAAATTTCATTACAAATGGCATCGTTTTCAAAAGTTATATTTTAAATAAACCAGTGTAGTTTGGTTTGAATTATTCACAAATAATTTTAATTGATTATCTGAAATTTATCAAACCATCATATATTGTAATTTTAATATTAAAAAATGTGCAAAAGTTCTAGTTTATGTTTTAGTAATAGCATGGAATTGTGAACATATTCGTGATTTAATTTGAACTTCCTCCCGCATACTTAAACAATTTCAATTACATCAGCCACAAATCAAATTTGTACTGCATTTCGATAAGAGCGACGGACAGAGTTGTGCTGTGATTTTTATGTCTGACGATTGTGCATAGAATAATAAAAAATATTACAATATTTATGTACCCAAATATAAACGGAGAGTTTCGAACTTGTTCAAAACGTTGTACTTATTGTTAAAATAAGAGAATTATGATTCCGAATTGAGTTTTGTTTGAAAGATCGGGTGAAATATGGGAACGCGTGTAATGATGCGAGTCTTACGATCCGTTTGTAATAATATGTCACGCGTTTCTAATATATACTATGCATCTGTATACCAAAAGTGGACGTATAAAACATAACAATAAATACCAATGAGCTCACAATGTATGTGCGTGTGTCGAACATTATTAATCCTTTAAAATGTCCCTATAGACAAAACACTGTCAATAAAATGGTCAGCCGATGTTTAACTTTGGGTTACGGGCGTTTATGTGTACTGGTGGATTTATTTATGTCCTTACTCGGCGGGAACTGTTTACTCGATAAAAACTGTTCTTATAAAAATTTGTATTAATTTCGTCTGACTAAAGAATGAATGAACATTGTACTCGTCGTTAAGTTGTTATTCTATTTCAATGATATCGAACATTTAAATGAAACTATTTTATTTGATATATACACATGAAAAATAAATGAATGAGTTTTTTTATACTACTTCGTACCATGACATAGTTGTTATGACTATGGTTGAATTTATAGCAGATATATTTTCGGGTCATACATTGTAAACCATACAGAAAATAGAATAAGGGGCGATCGTTTTTACCATATAATCATCATTAATTATACAGCCTGATAAACAAATGTTGACATTGTATCTACTTAGTGAAAATGAACTCATAATTAGTAAACATTTTTTTATATTTGTCTTAAAATTTTTATATTAGTTTATATAGTTTATAGATTTATTATGCTTACATAGTATGTAATAATTGGTAATGGGTATCTTCGTAAAAAAATTAACATAATATTTATATATGTGCAGTTAAGAACGAAAAAAGTGTAAATAAATGTTTGGGTTAATTGATTTTTATTTGTAAATGACCCTTCAAATGTAATATTATGTTTGATGTCAATAATGTTACGATTGTATTGCAGAACCATATCGTTGCTTTTAAAAAATAACAAATTGTATTAGACATTACGATATTAAAATATTTAAAATAACTCCTGGAGATTATTAAACGACTTTCGCATTGACATTCCATATTATGTTAATTTGTTGTTCGTCGTTTTTTCTTATTTTGTGTAGAAGCTTGAGGAACTTTGACGGTCACTACATAATAAAAAAAAAAACAGAATAAAGTTATGTATTTTATCAAACAATGGATTCGATCCACAAGTTCAATAAAATAATTTGTATTTCGGTGAGTTCTATTATAACATCTAAATTATGAATGTGTAATTAATAAAAAATAAAAATACAATATGTGTTAGTGGAGTTTGTTAATTTATTTCGTTTAAGTCACGTGTTACGGATAAACTTCGTGTAAATCATCTGTTAGTTTGTTTCAAAGTACTATCAGTAATCAATAACGTTTTATTTTATAGGACAAGTTGGCTGTTGGTCAAACTAAAGAAACAATAATAAAAGCGTAATAAACGGGCTCGGTCAATGATAAAGTAAACGGTGAAAACATATACGTGTTAGAGACTTAGATTTTGTTGTTGGTTTTTTTTTTTCGCAAAATATATTCTCGGAAAAAGTAAATGCACTTTTTGTAGCACACGTATACCATGCATTCAATATTGTTCACAAGTCTGTTTAAAAATAAAAACAAAAGGTATAAAATATGCTCCTACATAATGTACCTATATGTACAGGTCACATATATGTGACCTGTACGGTAGGTTTATATTTTTATAGGTGTTAAAGTTTAAATTCAATACCAATCGCCAATAACACATAGATTTATCATTAATTTGCATTGAAATTCAATAGATATTTAGCAAATTTAAATATAAGTTATCTTACTTGTTTTTATTTTTCGTTGTAAACAAAACACTTATCCCACGTTTCATAAAGCTATAGCGAGTCACAACTCTATGCAGAGATATCAATGTAGGTAGCAGCGCGTTAAAGGCATTATGCGATTCAGCATAAATTTTTTATACATAAATACTTAACCTTGATTGATACAATTTCTTTAACAACTAAAAAACTATTAAGGAATTCATTAATATTATTAAGATAAATAAATCGACTGTAAGATTCGAGCATATTGGAATATTAGGTTTGCAGCCGAGGCTCAAAATGGACATAGTTGCCCGTGACTGGAATGACATTTGGAATATTTTTAAAACGCTTCAGTCGAATCCCGTTAGTTTTTCTTTTTTGAGTTTAATATAAAGAAGTCGACGCTGGAGTGTTTCGATGGTTTAAGTTACGGCGATATCTACTTACTGTCGACATGGTGTTGTGAGAGCATGAACCCCATGACGGTGGATAGCGGATCGTGTATTGTCGACTAATAAAATGTCACGTTACAGGATTTTGTGACCACGAGGACTCTTGGCGGCGGCCGTAAACGTGATGTATCAGTATAAAATCTGGAATTATCAAACTCATTGTGACGTCATAAACACCCGAGTTTTTTAACCCTCTTTTAGATGCGGCGTGTGCTTGCGTTACTGCGGGCAACCAAAAGAGAGATGCCTGTGCCGGCAGAGGCTCAAGGGTAGACGGCCGCACACTCGACAGACTAGACTCAAAGATATTCACGCGCAGATTGTCCCTAAGGGTGAGGGAGAAACGAAGGCGACCGCCCGATAATGATTGTTCAGTACAATCAATTGTTTTCGACGTTTTAACTTGCTACTCGGAATTCGAGTGAGAAAATTATGATAGGTCAAAAGTTTTTTGTGTTGAAATTATCCACGAGATTCCTCCTAGTGTTCACCTGCCGAAGATGATTTTTCGATTAAAATTCGATATCACCCGAGTCGTTCATCATTTTATTGACTATTAATATTAATTGAAAAGTTGTTTTTTATTCGTCCACGAGTTTTATAAAATGGATTAAACACCATTGCGAATCCGATAAATTACTTACGCATGTTTGATCAACGATAAATAATAATTACATAAATATATTCTTAATGTATTGCGCATGTTAACAGTAAACTATTTTCTACGAGTTTTGATGTTCTCTGTTTGATTAACGATTTCAATAAAAAAATATAATTAATTCATAATAACTCTTAGACTTATTCGTGTTGACGTAATGTTGTGCTTGTTCATTAAGTTATAATACTGTTAATAGCTTACGTCAGTATTTGATAGCAGACATAGTTGCTCTTACAACAAGTCCAAGGACTAATGTGGTTGACAGCCATAGGTCTATTTTTTTCTGCTAAAAGGATCTATATTATTTTGATTTATCGACAACGCGTTTTTATCAATTTTTGCATCCATTTAAACCATTGTAAATTTAAAAATCAAACAGTTCAAAAATAAAAATTTGCGCGTTTTTATTTTAAGTGTTAAGGATAAAAAAACTATCTGTTTAATACTTATTAGAGATTAATATGATAATTATAATATTTTTATTGCGATCTAAAATTATGTTTCAATTAAAATCAAATTTCAATGTAAATTTCTTAAAAATTATTTTATTACACGCCGAAGCATTTCTCTCGAAAAAATTAATTAATAAAAGAAACACAACACTCATAACGAAGCCGATTATTTTTTTTTTACGCGAGTTTTAAGCTTTTGAGATGGAACGTGTTATTAAGTACAATAATACGTTTTATCTACTGACATACTTGCAATAATGAATACAATGTATTAGCATTTATCTGTAAATGCAACTCTGTGGCATCTTGTCGATCCTTATCGGTTATTTGCATGTATTTAGGTTAATTAATATTTCAGCGATTTTACAATGTCTTAACTTGACCTGATTTTTCTAAAATTATAATAAAAAATCATAAAGGTTTTGATTTCGAAATAATAACATATATTTAGAACCCATTTACTCGTACTTGATTAACATCAACATCAAAATATTTCACTTATCAAATAATTATCCATCAAAATTTCAGTTTCTACAAAAATGGTTTTCATAAACAATTTTTCAATAATCAATAAAAGTTAAAAAAAAAAAAAAAACAAAGATATTAAAAAATATACAACAATTCAGGTATAAACAAAAACAAAAAAACATGATTTATAAATAGACTTAAAAACTAAAAATTGAATTTACATGCTTAAAGTTATTGCGTAAAAATTGTACTACGGCAAGTATTCCTATTGAAAAAACTCCAGAAAAAAAAATCTATGGTTACATTTGAAACATGTTAATTGATCATTCTATAGAAATCGTACAATATTCATAGAAATGTTTAATGTTTCTTTATATTTTCGTATTTTTACATTGATAATTGCACGAGCTATAACTTTTATGTGTTTTCATGCAATCATTTTGGATACTGCGTATAGACAAACTTTGCCATAGGACACTTTTTCAGTCGAACACATAAGGTACACAAATAATTTGATTTGCTAAAGAGTAATAATACGTGAAGAGCTACATCGATTTCTTATTGGTGTGTCACTTGATTCATATTAAAATGGTTTGTTGGTACAAGAGATTTAAGGTAAAATGTAATGTACTCATAACATGAGAACAAGTTTTTTTTAATAAAAAAAATTATGTATATGAAAACTTTTATATGTTTATTAAATTATATGCAATTGAATTAGTTACCTTGAGATCTATCAAAAAGAATAACGAAAGTCATTTAAACATGAAAAAATATAGAAGCAAACACAAAATATACAAAAACAGCCAAATTTCGTCAAACTTAATAATATTTAATAATGTTTTTGAATAAAAATAAAGACTACTGAAATATGAATAACTATATTTTGGGATATAATTTAGTTTTAGTCAAACTCGTTAACTTGTACAAATTTAAATGGAACAATTATTAAAGTTTTGTCTTTTAGTTTATTTTGTTCAAACATTCATATTTTAATTAATTGCTTTATTACTTTTTTTTTTACTTTAATAGAGAGCCTTAAAAATATACCATTCGATAACTAATTAAAGTTGTACTGATTCGAGCTATAAACGCTTCACATTCATATGTGTCAATAACATTGGCTTATAGTAGAAAAAAGTATAAATCCGAATTTATATTGAATTGTTTAAGTTTCGATTAGAGGTAACTGAATTCCTTACATTAAATTTCTATTTAAGTTTACAGACTCGCTAATATCGTTACTCATAATAACATCTATCTAGTAGTTTATAAATTTTTCTTTAACTTACAATTAATTTATATTAATTTACAAACATTTAACTTTATGATATAACCCTATACACAAAAACTAAAGAACTTCTAAAAACTACTGGTATGTATAAAAACAATTTACTTTATTAGTCTTATTATTTTAATTTTGTTCAATTTGTCCATTTGCTTGTATACACACATGGTAAATCATTTTTGCGAGCTCAGTTTTGAATCCTCGAAATCCGAGAACTTCCACTGTTGGCCGGAGTCGGCAAACACCTAAAGATAAAAAAAAAAAAATCTGATTGTAATAAAATATATAGCTATTAGGAGACGATATAACTTTTCAGGCGTTCATGTCGTTACAATTAACCCATAATAGTTCTTTCTTACTATCTAAAGTGTTATTATACAGAGTATAATAGAGAGAGCAAAACTGTGGATTAGTGACTGAATGGGAGGTCGTTACCGGTCAGTACGTAAGCCAATTCTCTGGCGGGCAGTTAAAAGTATAAATCTAGAATTACGGCGTTTGTCAGGCTGGAAGAGGATGGCCACTTCGCAACATCAATCGCACAATTACTATTTTCCTCCCATTCTACGACCCTTTAAATACCGCAATAAGTTGTATAATGATGGCCTAAAGAGCTACAACTGTCAATTTTTTTTTTTACTGAAATATTGATGGGTGAGAACTGATAATTTTTCTTTTTAATCCTGTTGAAGATAGCGATAAACGTCAAGTGCGCCAAAATTAGTTATGTTAATTTTAATATTATTAATTGATTTATGAAATTCAAAGTTGGAGATCTATTATAGAAAATTACCAATTCAAATACGTAATACTATCACTTAAAAACAAACATCGATGTTGGATTTATGCATATCGTTCCATTTTAAATCGTTCAATATCATGTTTATAGTATTAAAATATAAATATAAATTTAGTTCATCCCTTTATTTTTATTCTGGTACAGCAAATAAAACTTTCAAACAAAATAAATTTCAAATTCCATTTCCCCGAGAATTAAAATTTTTTTCCAACATTAGATTTCATCGAAAGTTGCAAAAGTAAACATTGAAGTAATCCTTCTTTATTAATATAATTATTCTCTAGTTCAATCTAATGCAAAAGTTCACTGTCCTTAACTTACAATTGTAAAGATTATACGATTTATGGGCTAATGAAATAATAAATAATGTCTGATAAAACTTACTTTGTTAACCAAAGTGTTGACGCATACGACCTCCTCCTCTGTCATAGGTAAAGTTCGGGTGAATTGGAGTTGCTGTTGGTAGAGGCGGTTGCGGCGGCGTTCATGGATTCTCGGGCGTTTGTCAGGGCCGAACATCGCTGTTTATACATATCTCTCTCTTGAGTGACCCTCGCCAATTCCATTTTAATCTTTTGAAGTTCATTCACTAATGCGTGATTTGCGTTCTCCAATTCAATCCGCTGGTTCATACGCTTTGTCCGGCAACTTTGAGCGTATCCCCGGTTTTTTAGCGTTCTTCTTTTTTGCTTAAGTTTGTTGACGAGTTCCTTGTCAACACCTTGGAGTTTTTTGTTGAGATCTCGGACAGGTAGCTGTAGTAACATTGTATCGTTAATGAGTTCATCGGTGGATCCGTCCCCGCGAGGACATCCACCCCTTGAACTCATCGGAGACATAACGCTGTCACTGGACACACTCATTGACCGGTGCATTTGATGCATGATTCCTCCACCGCCGCTGGGCGAAGGACTCATTGGCACTTGCTGATGGCGGCCATACGGCCTCACACCAAGACAGCCGCCGTTACTAGGTTGAATTACAGTATCGTGTTGATGTTGTGCCATGTTCCATTCGGCTACAGCCACCGCGTTCACCGATGGATGATGATTATGATGTTGCTGTTGCATCTCTTCAGCCACCGCGTAGTTGGTTTTCAAATCTAACGGCTCTTGTCCTTCCCTTGTCTGAGGCATGGGTTCTTGTCCGTCTTTCAGATGCGACAACCATACCGTCAAGTTATCCATGTAATTGGATTGTCGAATCGGCGTGGCCGCTGGTGGCGATGAGCTCACCGGCGGTGTGTCAGGTGGCGTACCCGGAGTATTAGGATATATCATTGAACCAGTCCCGGACACCTTGACCGCACTACCAGCGGTAATCAGTACACCAGCAGGCGTATAACCGTGAAGCAACATTCCGGGATGATGGTGGCTGTGGTGATGGTGGGACACAGAGTACTCTTGTTCACAGCCGGGTGGCGTGAGCAGATAGTGAGGTGGTGGTGATTGTACCATCGCAGCACCGCCACCGATGATGGGCATGGATGGTAACCGACGTTGATAATCATTGGTCTCTCGTTTAATTCCAGAAGCCACTACGTCTAGATGGTCCAATTCAAAGTCTTGCACGTATTCATCGGCAAGACGCGGATCATCCGCATCCATGATGAAGTTTAAACAATAATTAAATAATTAAAAAAAAAAATTAAAGTAACTAGTTTTTTTTTTTATTATAAAATAATTATATAAGTACGTTAAAAACAAACACTTTATTAGACTTTACATGACAATGACAAAAAATAAATCGCGAACTCGTTAAGTCAGTTTTGTAAGTTCGGTAGAGTACACACGGGCGTCAAGTCTCGACCGCTGTTGTTTCCGCAATGCCGGCGGCACGAAACGGCGGTCGAATACGGAGACGGGCGTCTCTAACCGAACGCTATTCAGTGGGTGGGACGGTCAGCTCCCATTGGTCCGTACTACTGACGTAGCCCGCCCCGGGGTACATTCCTTGCCGCCGTAGTCGTAATTAGGACGTCGTGCTTGACCACACGAGGACGAGATCAAGGTCAACTTCAAACTTCATTTAATTGAGTCTTCCACCCCTGTTAATAAAACATGAAGAAACGACCAATTAATTATTATGATCCATATAATTCATTCGTTTTTATCAAACTCAGTAAATTCTAACAACGCTAATAATAACTTATGGTACCTATGAATTAAGCATAACCCCTTTATCGCGTTTGATAACTTTAACCTAGAAATAAACTGATAAACCGCCAAGACGTGGCGGTCAATCGATTACTCGATCGAGTTTTGTTGAACATAACTACAAAAATTTTGATTCTTATAAAAAAATGATTTTAATTGTAAATTAAGTTTAATAGTTAGACTTGTAATTCGCTTAAAACTACCCATATAATACTGAAATTAAGTCTTATAATTTAGTTAAAAATAAGCTACACACATTTTATAAATAATCAATGAATTCTGTACACAGAACCATACTTACTATTAGACACAGTGACCTATGGTTGCTGTCTATGGCTTTCGTTATTAGATGCTTCAAATTTAAGCTTCAAAATACATATGCCAGGCTTTGTTTGTACATCAAATAAATACAACAAAATTTTTATTCAAGACATTCAATAAGTGTATTGTTGATTTTTAAATTTATTTGTTAACTTACTAAATAATATTTATGTAAATATTGAATTTAATAGCTTTAAATCGTGGTCGATAAAAAACATTTTAAACATGTTTCGGAGTATTATTTTTAATAATTTTATTTTTACGTCTATATTAACAAATAAAAATCTTTTAACGTACATGCATTTTTTAATAATAACATACTTTTGTAAAAATCGAATTTTTTGGAGCACAACATATGTTATTTAATTTGCAATTGTAGGTAAGTTTAAAAATAATATGTTTAAGCATACATTAAACACATTTTTTCAAATTATACACATTAATTTCACATAATAAAATTAAAGATAAAACAATGCAAGTCGATCAATTATGATTGAAAATTGAGTTCATAGTATCCTAGGTCATGGAACTCGTAGACTTACTTTAAACGTCAGCTAATTTTTTGTAATATTCGCTAAAATATTGTCTTATTAAGATTTTATAATGATATTTATACTTAGGTTTATTTAGCACATAAATTATTAAATAAAATATATATTTTTTAACAACTTATAAAAATAAATATTAATGTAATAAAAAAACATAAAAGTAGAAATCAGTGGCACAACTACAGGAGTCATAGGAGATGTCTGCAGTACTCCAAAGCTCTAGATTAGCACCCATATAATTTTAAAAATTAAATTCATTATACATAATATATAATTTTAGAGGTATGCCATTATTTTTTGATTAATTAGCACCCCTTAAATATGTTATTCTAGTTGCAATACTCTACGGGACTCGACATTGTGAACACAAGGCAAAGTTGAAAGATTTAAATTATACTGATTTAATTATTATCATAAAACGTTACAATGCAAATGTACTTGAAAAAAGTTTGATAAAGTGGTGTTTTTTTAAAAATGGGCATTTCCTAACTTAAGTAGGGTCTTTTTTAGTACTTTAGTAGCTTTTTTTTATACTAATCTTCATGAAAAATATTACGGAGAGAACAATTCATGACATTAAAGCGTACACAAAATATTTTTATATATTCAATTAAACAATTTTTTTAAAAAGCTTTAATTTAATGTAATTTGTAAGGACGCAATTATTTCGGATCATTGTCGAAAATTAGAAACTTTTGTTAAAAAAAAAATTTCATATCTCTACTTAGTTAGAATTTCAATAAATATAAATTAATTAACAAAAGTTAATCCGACATTTTTATATAACGTTTTTTTTAGTTTAACTAAAAAATTAACAAATTTAATTAATATATAAGATGATTCTGTTATAATAAACAGCTTAATTAAACGAATAAAAAAAAACAGTATTGATATTTTCCTTTTAGTTACATGTTATTCTAGGTTTATTAATCATGGATTATTTTTTTATGTTCATTGCTTAAAAGACACAAGGGTTTATAAATTGAGGCAAATATATGACTAATAGAAACTAAGAAAAAAAATGCTCAATATCATTTTTATTTTTCGATTAACTAAGTGGGTCTTGATAACAGAACAACCCTACATTTATTGGAAGGAAATATATTTATAAAATGTGATACCGCAAATATATATTTTTTTAGTTGGTTCATAAAACTAGCACGTTTAAAATATCCTATCAAACTCTTAAATAATTTTTATTTGTGTGAAATTAAAATGTTTTTGTTTTTAATGACAATGAATAATTAGGGAATTTTTCCAATTATTCAGACTAATGGCTTCAATTAAATATAATTTGGTTCTTTTTCCCTTTAGACCTAGAAAATTGAACCACTGGAATTTGGCTGTACAAGGCGATTGACTTTAAAAATAAAAAAATTAATTTTTTGACATAATATTATATTATATTATTCGTGATATTTTTCAGAATATTAACAATATTTTTCGTTTAAAAATATAAAAAACAAAATCTTCCTTGAAATAATATCAAGATGGTTTTAATAAATTGATTATCTCAATAATGTTTTTGATTTACTCGCGCAGTTTGTTATAGTTATCCGTGGGGTGATTTGACTACATTTCTCAAATCTTTATGTAATAATCCAACCAAATAAATAGAAAATAAAAAACTAGAATGTACAAGTAAAATGTATTAATAGTTCATCTGAGAAAATCGAACATCTAGACATAATTTCATATCTGACACAAGAAATAAACACGCTAGTTGCCCCCAAAGCGAAACAACAGAAAAAGTAATCTTAGTTTAATATATTAGTAATATGGCTGTAATTATTTTAAAAATTTTGTATCATTCGAAGTAATCATAAAGGTTCATCACCATCTAATCATTAATAAGGAACGTTTGATTGGGTTGATAATTTAAGGACGATATAGTTGCCGTTTAATTGATGTTAGTTTCAATTCATTGGTGATTTTTTATTTATTTTATTATTTATAAAGTAATTCCAGAAACCGATAAGAAAAAAAGTTGAAAGAAATATATTCTAAGATCTTAGTAAATTCTTAAATTGTATTTTAAATGATTATTTTTTCTAAGTATAATCGGTTTGATTGTTTTGTTCTATTTCTTTAAAACAATATTATACATTCTTTTAAAAATAAATTTTAAGAATTATTTTTTGAACTTCAACATGATTGTTTTCAATAAAATCATGTGTGTATACCTATTATTTAAATAATATTTTAACTTTTTTTAATCACTTAGGTTTTAACAAAAAGTAATAAAAAACAATATTCTTCAGACATTTGTGTATGATTTCGCTGACAAATCAATAACTGTATTATAAAAAAAAGTTGCACTATAGGCATACATGCCATCAAAAACACACTGGTTTAACGTTACATATAGGATACATATATCCTATACACGTTTTATACCTATACGTTCAATTATTATTATAAAAAGTATAATATTGAAACATTATCGTATGTTCTCTGTGAACGGGCGGCCCATGTTTGCAATACTATTATATACTTATATTCATATAAAATTTTTTTAACAATGGAAAACTCGGGCCAGACAACAGGAAATGACAACATCGACGCTAGTCCAAAAGAACCATTATATTTATATAAATATATTTATAAGAATGGACGTCACGAAAATCGCACGCGTTTTTATGCTGACTAATAATGAGAACGTCCGTTCACTAGAAACATATTTACATATTAACTTAACATGTTCGCTTAGCTCTATTATTATTATTGTTATTTTAATGTAGAATATTGAACATTATTACATGGGTTAACAAAGTTTGGTAGAGCTAATTGTTTATTTTTTTAGTCATTGCTAGACCATTGGTCGCAATTTGACTATAGGTACTCACTATACACGCGAATAAATAATAATCATAATAGTATTAAACGATATGATTGATTGTTAAAAACAATAAAATATTTTAATAACAAATTCGCTTCAATTAATTTGATGGTCGTGCGTGCGCCTTGTTTTTGTGATAATATTCAATTCTCGGCATAGATATAAAAATAGTTATCCGAAGTCCGAAAGGCAAAAATATAAAAAAAATTTTCGAAGAAAAAATGCCTTTTGCGCTTTAAGATGAGCGTGTGCACCTTTTTATTTCAAAGACCTTTTAACCTATTTAACTAGCTGTTTGTTTTACGCTTTCTGGGAATTTTCGATATAATGGAACATGCTATGAGGAAGATTTCGTGAATGCTAAATAAAATGGAACATTTTCATTGAAAATTAATTAATAAATTATTTTCTCTTTAACAAGCACAACAGAAGTTAGACTCAATTAATTTTAAAACCTATTTTCAAGATTATAATAATAATATGCTTTGCGCAAATTAAACCAGAACAAAAATGTTGGCAAAAAAATTTTAAAAATAAATATTTAATAATATAATGGAGCTATAGTGTTTACATAAAAATAATTTATTTGATTTATATCAATTTTAATCATTTACATTAGCACTTAAAATTGTAAGTGCTTTTATATTTTAGAATATATATTATCATACTTAATTTAAAAAATATTTTTATTAATATTGAATAAGAAATTATTTATAGAAAAATTTATAAATAATTATTAATTGAAAATAGAAGTCTTAAATTTCAAAACTTCGAAATGTTTCTTAAAAAAAATAATATTTTAAGTGAATGAATCTTGTGCTTAATAAATAAACAGAATTATTTTTTTTAATTTATGAATAAAATTAAAAAAAAAACTTTGCCCATAAAAATTAAATTAAAATCAAAAAACAATAATTTTTTTCAAAAATATTTTATCAAATTAATTTAGATAATATGAACATGATTATTTTACCTAAAACGGAAAATTTTATGATTTTTCGGATAGCTTTGAGTAAGGCAAACTAAATAAAGTTTCCAAAGACCATGTTTTTTAATAAAATTTTTGGGAAAAAATAAATTTGTTTTGACATTGATTCGATTCTAAGAATAAAATATTTTTTGATTTTACTTACATTTCCTACAATTAAGAGGCATATATTTTTTTTATTATATAGGATATTGG